TATTTGCTTTCAACAACTGTTCGTGAGTAGCTATGCAGTAGAACGTTTGTCTCTCAGTGCGTCGTGTAATCGTATACACGCTTGGGGAAACTCATTTTGAAAAATTGAACGGACCAGATGATTATCTTGGTTGAAGGACTTTGGGTCAAGCGATGAAGTGGGAACTTCGGATCGCATTGCTGGAGCAGAAAACCCAAAAGAAATGTCATTGCAAGTTCTAGTGGAATCATAGGAATATTCGTTCTTCAACAAATGTTTAATCTAAGGTTCTCACGCTTTTCATAGTTGGCTCCTCTTTCAATTGAACTCCTGTTGAAACTCCTTCCGCGGATCCCATCGATGATTCCGGTAATGCGAATAATATGGCAGTATGCTCGAACTCTACGCAATTTGAAGTTAATTTAGATACGTTAAGATAACTACAAAAGACCATGTAAATTTAGAGGAAAAACCTGATAAAGGCGCAGCTGGCGATCGGCCGGACGGTGATGGCGTAAACGCATACCTAGCAGCAATTCCTCCACCTTCGCACTGACCAGTTACTCTATCGGGTGGTGGGATTCCCTGAAAAGATGTGATTTTACTTAGGCTGACATAATTCAATCAAAATTCTCATCACCCTCTCTTTGGTTTTCTGTACAGGGTTCCTCTTAGCTTCTTCGCTGCTAAAAACCTTTTTTGTCGCTACCTTCTTCTTAAGATCAACAGCTGCTTCCATCAATTCGGCCCGTCTGACGAGCTCACATGTGTCCTGATCTGTTACTGGTTGTCTTGCTTCTGTATCTTCTATCATTGGGCCAAGTATAGACTCAGCGGATGTTGACCGTTTTGCTTTTTGTAGTGAGAACGGGTGAAGTGTAGCAGCTTCTGTATCCATTGATGTTCCAACCCTCTGGTATAATAAGATCAATGTTTAGAATCAATTGTTATACCCTCTCAATTGCACGATTTGGTTAATCAAAACAATCTTAGGATGCTAGATTTTTATAGATTTCGGGAGAAAGATGGTACAAATCTCTCTTTGCATAGCAGCACCGGCTTATC